TATCAGAGTGTTCCATCTCATTTCCCTTTGGGGTTGCTGTAGGTGATCTGGAAGTCTGGTTTTGAGACTTGTTTATGTGTTTTCTCATTTTGACTGGAGGGCGGAGGGCTGTTGGGGCCTGCACAGATTACCTCCTCTGAGCTGGGAGAGGTGGGACAGGGTACAGGAGCAGCGGTAGGGATGATGGCCCAAAAGCCCTTTCCTGTGGGCTGGGAGCAGCAGGAGGGATGTTGCCCGGGTAGCCCCTTCCTCTGGTCCAGGAGAAGTGGGATGGCGGCTCAGAAGCCCCTACCTCTGAGCTGGGAGCAGTGGGAGGGATGGTGGCCCAGAAGCCCCTTCCTCTTGGCCAGGAGCGGCAGGACAGAAGTTGGCCCAGAAGCCCTTTCCTCAGGGCTGGGAGCAGTGGGAGGGATGGTGGCCGGGAAGCCCCTTCCTCTGGTCCAGGAGCAGTGGGACGGCGGCTCAGAAGCCCCTACCTCTGGGCCAGGAGCAGCGGGACTCAGTACCGTGTCCTGGTGGTCTGGTGACCTCTGCATCTTTGTAGTGTGGAACCAGGTGGCTGTTCAGAGGAGCGGTTGGGGTGGGGGTCCAGTGGATTGTTGCCGCGGTGCGGGCTGATTTGGCGTGTCTCGCGTGACTTGGGACCTCGGTAGGGCGTGCGCAGACCTGCCTGTCTGCAGTGGGCTCTGTTACATATAACTTTCAACCTTCTGAATAATCTTAATTTGATAGATTTTTATAGTTTGCTAGAACCCTGTGTCATTCCAAGAATGTTCCCTTACTGCAGATGGAATGTTATCTTGTAGTTGAGGACCTGATACTTAACTGTATAGCCCTTCAGGTTGGCATCTAAAACATTGTCTAGCAGTTTGTTTTGAAACTTTAATTTGCTTATTATTAGTGCGTTGACTCTGGTATTCAGAGTTGGTGTTTATTGGTATTTCACTTCAAACCCAAGAGCTACTCCTGAAGTAATTAATCAAAAATTTAAATTTCACTAAATCTTTTGTTTGTCTACTTCTCAGCTTAAATTTTTTTTTTTTTTTTTTAAATTTTGAGACAGGGTCTTGCTAAGCTGAGCAGGCTGGGCTCAAACTTGCGGTCCTCCTGGCTTAGCTTTATGAGAAGTTAGGATTACAGGCATGACCCGTCATACCCAGCAAAGTTTTACTTTCAAATGTTTGTCTTGAACAATGTTTCCTTATAGTGAAGTTTCATGCCACAAAAGGCAAATGTGAAAAGTATTCTGAACTAGTTTGTTTTCTTCTAAAACCCAGTCTGTTCAGAGTGTGACAAGTGACTGCATCTCTGTCTGAAGGTTCTGTCTCTACCTTCAGCAAACCTTGCTTTATGAGCTTATAACAGTAGATATTTTTAGTGTGAAGATGGTTTAGTGCACTTAAAATAGAGTTTAATCCAATTATTTTCCCTCAAAACTTGCTGCAGAAATATATTAAAAACCAGACACAGTGGTCCCTGTCTGTCACCTAGCTACTCAGAAGGCTGGGGTAGGAGTATCACAAATTCAAGCCAGGCTGGGCAACTTAGTGAGAATGACCTTTATTAATAAATAATGAGAGCCAGGGCAGGTGGTGTGTACCTGTAACCTCAGCATCCTGGGAGACTGAGGTAGAAGGACAGGAAATTTGAGGCCAGCACAGACAACTTTGAGGCCTGCCTCAAAATTAAAAGACAAAACAAAAACAGAAAGGGTTGGGGATATACCTCGGTGTGAAGGCCCTGAGTCTAATCCCCAATATTGCCACTCAATCTATCAATCAATCTGTTGACTATAGCTCTTTTATAGTGTAGCAGACATATATTAGAATTCCTTTCAGATGCCCCCTTTCAATTTGCCCCCTCTCTTCTTTCTGGTTCGAGACTTATTTGGGGTAAATGTGCAATTTGGGATCAAGTGTTATTCTCCCTTTCCTGATAGTTACCCTTAGAGATGCTTTTTTGTGATGCTCCCCCAGTGGAAAAGGTAAAGACGCGCTGGGACAGCACACAGCACGGTGTTGACCTCCGCCGCCAGCAGCTGGAGGCCATGGTCCTGGACAGCCTCCGGTGGGAGGACCACAGGGAGGAGACGGAGGAGCTGATGAGGAAGTTCGAGGCCCGGCTCTACATGCTGCAGCAAGCCCGGAGGGACCCCCTTGTCAAGCAAGTTTCTGACAACCATGTAAGACTCATTAGGTATTTTTTTGGTGGTATCATTTTGTCATGACAGGATATCATGACCCTGTCATGATATTTTCCTAAGTTCTTAGGCTACATGTTGAAATGTATATGAAGAACTTGACCAGGATTTTTTTTTCAAAAATTTCTAAAGGCTTAACAAATAGAAATGACCCATTTTTGCAAATGGAATGACCCCATGAACTCAGATTTAGAAAGAGAACATTTTTGAGATTTCAGAAATACTCATTCCCTTTTTTGCCTATGTTGAGGGTCATTTTTATTTATAAAATTTCCTGAGACTTTCCTTTGAGTGCTGTTTAGTAAACAAGTCAAGAAATCAAGTTTAGCTTCTTTTAATACCTTTTTAAGTGCACAGTTTTATCAATGCTAGGTACCTTTATTGTAATCAGTTTGATTATAGAGTTGATGACATTGAACACTTATGGTGTTTTTAAAGTGTTATTTTAAAATTTCTACAATCATAGAAAATATTCTTGAATCAGAGGTTGTGGCTGTGAGGTTATATTTTGGTGCAACATTTTATTTGCCCTTCAGGAGGCCTAAGATGAAAGTATACACTTATGATGAATAGAATAATAAAGAAAGTGAAAACAAAACCCCAAACCTGGAAGTATGCTTTTATTTTTCACAATGTAGATTGTCCAATTTAAAAAGCAAGTGGTTGGGTACTCTGGTTTCTGGACCATTCTCTGTATCTGTGATACCTACTGATTGCGTCTACCAAATGACTGAAACGGACACTTCAGGAGAGAAACACTGCTCCAGACATCAGTGTTTCAGTCATTGGGCTCAGAATATCTTTGTGTCTGCAAGATCAGTATCTATGATTCAGTCAAGCACGGATCATGGGGTTAGACAATGAAGGTTACATGTGTACCCACCGTGTACAGACGTTACCACCTTATTATGACTCTGTTGATAGTATAGTATAACGACTATTCTGGAACATTTACATGGTATTAAGCAATGTAAGTAACCTAGAGATGATTTAAAGTATGCAAGAGGATAGTGTACCACTTTATATAAGGAACTTGACCATCTGTGGATTTTAGTATCCATGAGAAAGGAAGGTTTTGGAACCAGTCTTCCACAGGTACCAAGAAAGAACTATTTTTTTTTTCTAATTAATAATATAATTTTTTTTTGAAACTTTAGGGTGTTTTTTCCTAATTCGTAAAAAGCATTATAGGGACATTGCACTATCATTTAGATTTCAGGGATGTATCTTGATCCGGAGCCCGTTGGGCGTGCCAAGACACCACTGCCTGTGGACCTCTGCGGAGCTCTTCACACAGCCTCTCAGTAACCCTAGCTCGGCTGTCTGATTCTTCTTGTTGGCTTTGTGAACACACACAGTGATCCAGGGGCAAGAGACAGAAGACTTCTGTATTGTTGGTCCTCGCCTTTGCCCTAAGCATGTGTAGTGGAACACTCTGTATGTTCATTCTTAGGCAATTACATGTTCCATAAGAATCAGATCTGGTGCAGAAGAAATGAAAAACACCAATAGTTTGAGGAAGTAAAGTATCTCCAAGAGGAAAAGATAATAATTGTTTCATCTTATCTACTGATATCTTAGACATGTTTCTTTTTGCCTCTAGAATTGTTGTGTTTTAAAATTATGTGCTATAGTTTGTCCCCTAATTAATTTTATTCTTGTGACACCTGTGTCTAAACCATATTAAAACTTTCCAAGAGTACCAGTGTTTGGATAAATACTAATTACTGACTGACCACATCTAACAGTTACATCTTGTACCTTAGCTGTTGCTTCAAGAACTGGGTCCTGGTGACAGTATCGTCATGGCATTTGATAATGTCCTGCAGAAACTGCTGGAAGATTATGCTAGTGATGACATAAGAAATGTGAAGGAAACCACTGAGTACTTAAAAACATCGTGGATCAATCTAAAACAAAGGTAATTGTACGACCCTGGGAGCTTAATGCATATTGTCCGGTTGAGAATTTGACTTCTTTAGCTTTCTCATGGAAACAGGCCAAATATGTGCATACTTGAAGTGGGTTTTATTATTTTTTCAGTTTTTATACTGTAATGTGCTGAGTTAGTGTTCTTCTGCTTACTCAGTGATGAAGGTATGTTGATCCAATATCTACCTGAGTTTCTGGAATGCAGTTTTCCTTGAATAAGCTGAAACCTAACCAATGATTATTTTATGTATTCTGATATTCTTGTGACTCTCAGTATTACATAGAATACATTTTATGATACTCTGGTGAAAAACAAAGTATTTACAGGTGGCTCAGTTTAATATATCACTAATGGCAATGATACCATAGTATATAATAATGTAGCATTGGTCTGGGGTATCCTCAGTGGAGGACCATACACTGTTGGTCCAACACTCGACCTCTGGAATAATTAGTGTGTATTTAAGGTTTCAATTAATTATCATTTATTTCCCTGGCTGTCTAGTCAGTATATTTGGAATAGCCTAAAATAGCACATGTACTTATAAGAGATATTTTTCTGTCAAAAATGATTTGAGGAACTATTAACAGCAGTCAGCATCTCTTTAAGACTGTATATTTATATTCATCATCAATAAAAAGTGTTTACTTCATGCATGGTACTGGGAATGCCTGTGTCTAAGTAAGATTACAGTTTCTCAGACATCTTTAGCTATTCAAATGTAACTTCCTGAAAATAAATTTGATATCAGAACACATTTATTTTTCAGTGAATAAAATTGGTAATATCAGAACAGTTTATGATAGATACTGCTGGTAATAAAGAACACTCTAGCATTTCAGGACTGTTGGACATGGAGAAATTTTTATTCATTTCAGTAGTGTTGTTTTTTGTTAGAATTTTTAAAGCAGTTCTAAAATCTCCAAGAAGAGACTAATTAGGGAAGGACATGAGCTTGGATGTGTCACTAAATACACCAAGGATACTGGAGGAAATAAGATTGGGGTAGGAAATATAAAATTTTGTAACAGATCAAAGCAGTATGGCTATAATTTTGATATTTCTGGCATTTCAGTACAACTTTTCTTTTTGTTCTAACGAGTCATTTGGACAGAGTAAGGGTCCCATAAATAAGGCAGGGAAGAAGGTGACTAAAAACAACTTTAACAGTGAGATAGTCCTTAAACATACTTCATCTTCATTGTTTCCAGAAGTTCCGTGTGTAAGAATTATGACTGTCATTGTTGTAAATAATAACAGAAAATTGATCACTGAGGAATGAGTGGCTTGCTTTATTTGGCCACCTCCAATTCTTTTTTTTGCTTTTACTTTGTAAATATTTTAAGACAGCCTACAGCAGTAGTTAGAATAGATGGAAGAGGCAGTTAAAAATGCATTATATTCCAAGGTGATCTTTCATTTATCATAGCTAAAACAAGCACCATATTCTAGTTTCATTGTAGTTACAGGGAGTTGTCCTTGGTCTTTTCTTTCTGCCTTTTTTGGGGGGGATGCATAATTGTACTAATATTTAGACATGATATAGATACATTGTTATTTGTAAAGCTGGGAGAATACAGCAAAACTGTTGTTCAAAGGAACCATTCATGGGCAAGAGCCAGGGTTTCTGTACATGGAGAGAGTTTTCTCTTTTAAACACAGTGATATTTACAGTTTTCACTATTCTAAATGAACATCTTTCTGGAATATAAAAGTCTTTCCTGGCCTTCTTAAACAAAATATGAGAACCTGGATTAAACTGCTTTTGAATTCTTGACATTATTGTTTCAAAGATAGAATTAAGGAACTTTAACAATTTTAAGCAGCCTCAAAGTTTATCTAAATCAGTGTTTCTCAACCTTTTAAACCGTCTCTTCTCTAAGGATCCCTTTCAGGCCCCCTCCTCTGTGACATTTTAATGCTATGGTATATTATGTATCTGCTTCTGTTCGTAGAGTGGTGCTTTGTATATAAAAAGGGTAATTATTTTCCACACACCTCGAAGAGCCACTCATCACCTCCTTTGAGAATGTGTGGGCTAATTGCAACACACCCAGGCTCAGAGAAGTTAAATGACGTGTGCAAATTTGCATAGAAAAGCCAAAATGATGTTTTTCTGGGACTGAAATGGGGATGTAATACTCCTTACGCCTGAGTGCTGACGAGTTGGTGGTAAATTTATTCAGGGTGCTATGCGTTGTAGTTTATTTTTAGTTACAAATGTCAGTGTCTTGTCACCAGGTAGGGTCTGAGAAGCTTCCCCTAAAGAGGAGATGGGGACCTCAGCCTACCCCACCTATGGTGTGTCACGTTTGCCAACATCTGTCAGAGAGAAGGGATTTCGGAATGTGTCCTGGAGAGGCATATGCAGCTTTATTAGGCAGAAAGAAGTATACACTCAGGGGAGCAGGGTGCTCATAGGACGAGATACATTATGGTCTGAGGCTACAGGTATTTCTGTATTTGGGGGAGTCCTCAAGATGGAAGATCTAAGATATGTACAGTATTTCTAGTGTCCTTTAGATTACCTATTATGAATGGGCAAGGTTGGGATGCAAACCATTTGCGTGGATTTAAAGTTTAGTGATATTGTACCCCATTTATAGTGCTCTTTCCTCGCAGGTGGAAGCCTAGGATTTGCGAATCTATAGTGTCTCCTCATTGTGAGGCAGTGCACTAAGCCCTTCACATGGGTTATTTCATTTAATCTTTACAACAACCTTAAAGACAGGCAGCGTTTTCATTAGCTTTACATTGATGAATAAACTGGAGCCTAAAGATGTTAAGGAATTATCCAAGATCACACAGCTTATACTGGCAGAGCTAAGATTGTAATTCAAGCCTGTTTGTGTAGCCTGGCTGTTTGTCTTCTTCAACAAGAGTTTCAATTTTGTTTTTACCTATTATTATTATTTTTTAATCACAATGTCAGCTATTGCTGGTGGCTGCTTGTGTACCTGCCTTTCAGATCTGTCTGTGATTCTACTAATCGCGGTGGTTCTTGTTTGTGTTGCGCTTAGAAGCCAGATCAGATTAAAGCTATGGGGCCTCTTCTATGAGTAATGGAACACCCTCCAGTCTTCTGCCCACTCCAGTGGCCTCTGAAAGACCTTTTGCCAAGTCTCTCCTCTTACCTCTCAGCCATATTCTGAATATTTATCATTGTCAACCAAATTCTGGAGGAGGGAAAGGCTGTCATGCTTGTGCATGGGATTGTGTCAGTGGAGCCTAATTTTTGGAGTTCAATATCAGCTTTCAAAGGAAATATTTTGTGTGAACTGCAATTGGCCCAAGGAATTTGGCCATTCACAGTTACGGGGCCGTAATCTCTTTATCTACAATGCCAGAATCCAAGAAAAGCTTTGTTAACAGAAAGCTCTGAATTGATGTCAGGTTATTTATTATAGTCATTATTTATCCCCGTTAGTGGAAATAGCCTTGCTTTTAGCTGTTCAAATATTAATGTTTCTTTGCTCCCTAAACCTGCTCAGGGCATAAACTGTAACCTATGTACTTTTGTAATATTAGTTTTTTTTCATTAAGTTTATTGGTACATTTTAGGTATACAATGCAGTTACATTCATCATTGGGATCTTATACCTTTACATGATATATCTTGGTTCTTATTTTTTTCCCCATATAATATTAGTTTTTTAATGTACAGAAAGTTCTTAGCTCTGAAACAAAGCCAGCTGCTGGTATTTATATTCTGTGAGCCATAGGCCACTCTAATATTTGTTAACCAATCTATATACCTTGATCGCTATTGCTTCTACATATGGCCTTTTCCTCCAAGCATCTGTTTATGCCAGTTAACTAACTTTTGGTACAAATTGAGATACTCATAGTTGAAATGCGCTTGTACAAGGTGATAGTCCCTTATCCAAAATGCTTTGGATCAGAAGGGTTTGGGGATTTGGATTTATTTCTTTTTTACATTGGAATATTTGCATATACATAATGAAATATCTAAGGGGTGGGACTCAAATCTAAACATGAAATTCATTTATGCTTCAAATATACCTTAAGGGACTGGGAATGCAGTTCAGAGGTAGAGTACTTGCCTAGTGTATATGAGGCTCTGCATTCATCCTCATTATGGTGAAAAAGAGAGAGGGAGGGAGAGAGGGAGGAAGAGAAAGAGAGAGAGAGAGAAAGGGAGAGAGATTCTACATAGCTGGAAGGGAATTTATGCAATATTTTAAATAATTTTGTACATAAAACAAAGTTTAATGGTGTGTGATTTTCTACTGTGGCACTCTTTTATCACTCAAAAAGCTGTAGGTTTTGAAGTATTTCAGATTTTCAGATTAGTGATGCTCAGTTAGTATTAACTTGGCGTGGATCCCTGATTTGGGTCTGGGTCTGGAAGGTTATTTTATCTCTATAGGCACTTCAGGACTAAAATGACATTTTAAATCTGTATTTATGTATGTATATATCTTATGCATTTATACCCACAGTTTCCAATACTACAGTACCATAAAGCAAATAAGACAATATAACCATATGCCATAATTTCTTAAACATCACTGACTGCTATGGATTTTTTTCCTTGTCCTTATCCCCACGAAGTCGTGTTTTGCCTCTGATATTTTAAGGCATTTTTAGGATAGTACAGGCAGAGCAGAAAGCACACGGGCATGGTATCTGACAGTTCTCAGTTAAAACACCATCATATGCATCTACCGTCGTGTGAACCTTGAGCAAGTTATTTCAACTCTTGGAGTCCCGCTTTCCTTGGTTCTAAAGTGGAGAGCATATCTAATATGTAGGATTATCGTGAGATCAAAAGTTATGCATGAAAGCTCTTGGTACTTGGCTTATGCTCAAAAAAATGCTAGCCAAATCATCCATCCTATGCTGTATCATATTATGTGTTCCTTATAAACTCTTCACGCCTTAGTCTGCTTCACAGAACTTTCTATAGCTAAATTAGCAAAATGTTGGGTCATTATTACGTTCTACAGTCATTTTGAATGGTCTTA